CTTAAATTTTAAAGAGTGATTAAAACCTTGGGGACTTCTGGGAGTAAGTATGTTTTCTTTAATCTGCAATGTGGTCACAGAGCATTATAGAAATCTATTTTCTATAATTTCTAGTCCTTTGTCAAACACATGAAAAGTACCATGATTAGTAAAACTACAGTGAGCAAAATTGAGATCTCAAAATGGAGGTGAGGAAAGTGATTGGACACATAAAATGACATAAAAGATATTTTTAAAATAAATTCTTTGATCTTATTTCCCTGGGGTGTAGGGCACTGTGTGGGTTGGTAACAAGGTCACAGCTGCACCGCTGGGTCCAACTGGTGCCATGATGCTGCTGCCCCTTAGATGGATGTGGTGGGATGTTGGTGAGGCCCCAGAGATGTTGAGATGCAGGATATATATATATCCTGAGCAGGATATACTCTGATAGTGGCTCAACTCTCAAAATGGTGCCATGCTGCAACAGCCTGGAGCCTGAGGAGTGGGGGTGACCCAATGTGAATTCCCTCTCTGGAATTATGCAGTCACATGGACTCCAGGCAGCTCCCCATACTAGCTCAGGGCCTGTGAGGGATGTGGACTCACTAGGATTGCAGGTGTCTGTGGCATGCACATGGACTGCTGGAGCTCTACCACTTGCCTTTTCCCCACAGTAGGGAGGTCCTCTTGGTTCCAAGCCAATCCTGGCCAGCTGCTTTGCTTCCCTGTCTGTGCCGCCATCCCAATTTTCCATGCCTCAGAGGGCCTTTGCCACTTCCTTGCTGAATTCCAGTCTTCTCAGACAGTCTGTTTGACATGTGGTTTTCTTTTTGTTGTTTGACTAGAGGTGAGTGCTGTGTGACTCTAATCAGTCATCTTGATGACATCTGGAGACAAAGCAATGATGGAAATAATTCAGAAAAAGGGTTCTCATTGTTTTGGCCTTCTTGTCATACAATCATCAGACTGGCAGCTGGTGTTTATCTTTTCCCTTCAAGGCTCAGGGGTTAGCAGCTTTGGAGATAAGTCCATCATAACCCTGACTTCATTTGTATGGAACAGTAGCATTAACCTCTCCCTTTATGCCTTAAATCCTGGTGTTTGTTTTTCTTCCCTACTAATAAATGTCCTTTGTGGCATTTTTTTTCCCAGAATAGGGAATCTGCATTAAAAATCTGTTCAATCAGATACCCTTTCTCTTCAATGATTTTCTCAATGGCATCTGGGTACTTTTTTGCTGCCTCCTAATATTTTTAAAGTCAAAACTCTTTCTAATACAATCAAACTATCCTTTGCTGGCATTAAATTCTCCAGCTTTAGATCCTTCACCTTCCTTTTGCTTTAAGTTGTCATATAATGACTTTGCTTTTTATTGACTCATATTAGAAAGGCATACAGGTATGCCTTACTTAAAGCAATCCTGTACCCACATAAAAGCTGCATTTTCAATATAAGAGAAAAATGTATTTCACAAAAAGTGCAAGATTTTTGCACTTGCTGACATAGCTGTAGTGATGACTTCATGAGTTTCCTTTTCTTTTTCTTCTTTTTTTTTTACAGTGGTTCTTATGCTGGATTCATTTATCTTTAAATGGTGAGCAACTGCAGCTGCAGACCTCAATCTAGAGTATATATCAAGCAACTCCATTTTTTCTTATAATTTCATGACTTTTCTCTGCTTCTTGGGAATACTTCCAGCATCACTAGTGGCACTTCATATAGGTCCCATGGTGTTATTCAAGGTTTACAGTATTGCACTTAATATGATGAAAAATACGTGAGAACTTCCAGAGATAACTTTTTACTTTGATATGCAATTTACTAGAGAAATGAACTGCTGGTGTTTTAAGCAGATACTTGAAACACTTGAGCTTACTGCAACAGCAACAAGAGGCGGCTACAAAATTATTATGTAGTACAGTAGATATTATAATTAATTTTATGCAATTATAACTTAACATTGCATTTTTACATTTGTTTACATTCCTCTTGTCTGTGAATGATGCCATGTATAGCCTGTGTTTATGTGTATAAATCTGGATAAATTTTAACTTTTTATAATAGATTTATGTATATTTTATGATAATACATGATAAAATAGATTAGTATCTAGATATATTTTACGCATTCGTGACATCTTTTTCTTAATTTTTTTGGTATTTTTATGCTACACAGTTTGTAAGTTTTTTGAAATTGTTGCAAATCTCAAAAAAATGCTCCAATATATTTACTGAAAAAAATCCATGTGTAAATGGGCCTGTATAGTTCAGATCTGTGTTGTTCAAGGGCCAACTCTATATTCATTTTTAAAACATCACTCTGGCTACCATCTGGAAGGTGATGAAGATAAAAGGGGAGGTGTCAAGCCAACATTGAAAATAAAAATAAAGAAGATGATATGATTTGATGTAGCACAAGATACAGAGGATAGTTTGAATTCAGCACCAGAAGCATAAATGCTATAGTCAACTTTCAATTATATCCATTTTAAATTAACCATTGCTAATTTCAATTGCAATTTCAATACTACTGGACAGTAGTCACCTGGTTAGAAAATAATTAACCCTTTGGCTTAAACAAATCGTAAGTGGAGAGGGTAAGGAAAGTCAGGATCCCTACTCTCCAGGACTCAGATTCCAGTTCTTAAGATGCACATTGTCAGATGGGGTATAGGGTTTGGGGGAGAAAGAAGGTAGCTTTGTCCATTTTGTGTTACTACAAAAAATACTTGAGACTGGATAATTTATAAAGAAAAAAAAGGTTTATTTAGCTCACTGTTCTACAAGCTGAAAAGTTCAAGGGCGTGGCCTTGGCTTCTGCCCAGGGCTTTTGTGCTGAGTGACAGCATGGCAGACAGAGTTAAAGGGGATGGACACGTGCAAAGAGGGGAAAGCCCGAGGGGTGTCCTAGATGTATAACGACCCATTCTGGCAGGAACTAATTCATTCCCAAAAGAACTAATGCAGTCTCATAGGTGTGAGAACTCACTCACAACTGTGAGAACAGCATCAAGCCAATCATGAGGGATCTGCCCCCATAACCCAAACACCTGCCATGAGGCTCTACCTCCCAACACCATCACATTGGGGATCAAATTTCAACATGAATTTTTGTGGGGACAAAGAAACCATAGCAAAAGTCAAGAAAAATACCCGGGGCAGGAAATGAGCCAACTGGTTATTGCTTTTGATCCTTTGCACAGGGTAGGCACAGACAAAGAAGAAATTTGCACTCAAATAAACACATTGCTGTGTACCCCAGACTATATTATTCCCCAAATTTTACAATTAACTCATTGAAGGCATACTTATTTTTTTTAAAGGTCTATAACTACATAATTCTGAAGACATTTGGTGGCAAGTTTTGTTTTTCCTTTCTCAAGGTTCAAGAAGTGCCCAAGTATTTTCATAGGAGATATTTTCCAAACAGTTTTACAATTCTTCCAGGCTATTTGCCCTCCTGGCCACCTTTCCTGCCCACTTTCTGGCAGGAAATTTTCTTCCATCTCTACCTGGCAAAATTCTGATCCTCCTCAAAAACTCAGCTTAATTATCTTTTTCTCCAGACTACCACTCCACACGGTTTGTACATCTATATGTGTACTTATTGGTTTATATTGTAACGATCTCTTTTTTTTGCGAGTCTCCATCTCTAGAGAATGAGCTCCTTGATGGAACGGACCATGATTTTATTTTCTACCTTGGGACACTATATAGCATAATAGTTTAGTACATAGAGCCAGCACTTCTGGGTTTAAATCTCACTCTTATAGAACGTGTATCCTTAAATAGGTCAATTTAACCATTCTGTGCCTAAATTCTCTTATCTGTAAAATAGGTATAATAATAGTGGCAACTTTAAGTAACTAGCCCTCACTTCTACCTTTCATTTTTTAGATAGAAGCCTTTTCATAACCGTCACTGAGTTACAGAAAAGAAATTTTTTTTTTTTTTGAGACAGAGTCTCACTCTTTTGCCCAGGCTAGAGTGCCGTGGCATCATCCTAGCTCACAGCAACCTCAAACTCCTGGGCTTAAGCGATCCTTCTGCCTCCGCCTCCCAAGTAGCTGGGACTACAGACATGTGCCACCATGCCCGGCTAATTTTTTCTATATATTTTTAGTTGTCCAATTAATTTCTTTCTATTTTTAGTAGAGACGGGGTCTCGCTCTTGCTCAGGCTGGTTTCGAACTCCTGAGCTCAAACAATCCGCCCGCCTCGGCCTCCCAGAGAGCTAGGATTACAGGCGTGAGCCACCGCGCCTGGCTGAAAAGAAAATTTTTTTAAATAAATTTAAAAGGTAGCCTAATATCTAAAAGGGGCATTGCTTCCAGGTCAAACAAACGCAGATAACTGTGTTGGGAAAAAAAATACAGAGAGACTTGAAGATTTTGACAGGTAACTTTTGGTATTCCTCCTTCACACCATCATGCTTCCTGTGACTCTCATATTCAAGGTCTCGTCTGTCAGAGGACTGCCTGCTCCAGGAAGCCACCTCTGGCATCCCACACTCAGGCTCTGTAAGGCGATTGTCTGTTTAGATGTCTGATACCACAACTGTGACTTGAGCAGGGACTATGTCTGGTTTTTCTCTGTGCTCAGGACTCAGGATCTATTGGTATCATACTCAGGTTAATCCTGTCAACAATTTAAGAGTCTCCTGGACGTTCTCCCTCTGCATCAGTCACTCCTTGCCTCTCAAGGTTCCTCAGCCTCACCTGAAAGTTTTAGAAATGAGGACCCTGAGACCCGCCCACCTCAAGTGCACTGCCTGGTTTCTTCAGCGATAACCCCTACGACCATTGCGCCTCAACCCCGCCCCCTCACGCCTGGCCCGCCCCTTCCTCCGGCCCCGCCTCCTTAGACGGGGTCAAAAGTACGCATGCTCTCTCTGAACCTCCGTAGCGCGATGGCGTAAGTGGCGTTGGCGTGGTGGCGTAGGGGCGGTAGCTGCGCGCGTTGCGACCCGGGGTCAAATCGCAGGTTTAGAATTATCGCGGGGCGGTCAGGCGGCTGGGCTGTCTCTGAGCGTGGTTTCTGTGGCGTTTGCCGAGTGCGCTGTCTCCATTCCGCTCTGTTGGGAAGAAGGAGGCAGAGGAGAGGCTCTGTGGGGACAGCTGGGAGCCCCGAAGGAGAAAGAGCAGCTCCGTAGTGCCTGAAGGCAGGGCTGCGACCGAGAAGAAGGGAGCTGCTGAGAAGGGTGGGCCCCTGCAAGCAGGGTCCGAGCCGCTGACATCACGACCCGTCCCTAGGAGGGCCTGGGGCAGCCGCGCGATGCTCACGGCCCGGTACCTTCTCCGAGCCCTGCGCTTCTGTTCCTCCGCTCCTTGCCCCCAGCACAAACCTTCAGCCAAACTGAGCGTGCGAGACGCTCTCGGGGCCCAGAACCTGAGTGGGGAGCGCGTTAAGGTCCAGGTTGGTGTATGGGAAGGGGGTGGATTTTTTCTTTTAGGGACTTAGATAGCAAATCCACATCTAGCTTTACTTTGTACCCTCTGGTCAGACAGAACCACCAGCAGGGAAAAGTCAGAAAGTGTAGGCATTGCACCGCAGTTTCTTATTTCCTTGGGTAGCATTACTTTTCACAAAACTGTTCCGATGATTATAAAGTGCTGGAACTTTGCTTTCGTGATACCAGGGCATTACCTGTAAACTTATTTATCATACAAAAAATGTAAGGGAACAAGCCCCTTTTCTCCACTTTTATCCTTCGTAAAGAATACCACGGTTATAAAGTGTTTGTCTTGAGCTAGCTCCTTGAGAGGAGAAATTATGTCTTACCTATCTTGATATTTACACATGGGTGAGGGTAAATACTTGTTCAACTAAACCGTGCCTTTTATTCCACTTGTAGGTGCCTCAATTCCTAAAATGGGGCTTCGTGTGTAATTTATGTTTCCTCAATGAGGAGAAAGAGTGGAATGTAGAGGTCTGAAAGAGCTCTGGAGTCAAGCTGCCTAAGTTTAAATCTCTACCACTTAGTAGCTCTTTAATTGTGGACATGTCGTTTGTGTGTTCTAAATCCCAGTTTCCTCTAATGAAAATAGAGATAATAGTTCCTACCTCATGGAGTTGTGGAAATTAAATGAGATAATGGGTATGAGATATTTAAAATAGTGGCTCACATTCTATAAATGTTAGCTGCTAGTATTTCTCTTGCAAGTAGTATTTGTAGCAGCTCCGTATAGAAGATTCCCCTTTAAAGAAGCTGGTTAAGCAAGGTGGTTTGATTGTTCCTCATTGGATTGCTGAAACACACGGTTGCAGTTATTTTTGTTGTCCTCACACATTCTTGATTTTTAGGAGTATGACCAATCTGCCCCTCTTTGCATTTCTTTGGGTTTATATATATGTGTGTGTGAGATATATATCTATATATATGTGTGTGTGTGTGTGTGTGTGTGTGTGTGTATATATATATATATATATATATATATTTTTTTTTTTTTTTTTTTTTTTTTTTTTAATAAAGACCAGGTCTCCCTCTCTTGCCCAGACTGGAGTTCAGTGGTACAATCATAGCTCACTGCAGTCCTGAACTCTTGGGCTCAAGTAGTGATCCTCCTGCCTCAGCCTCCTGATTAACTAGGACTACAGACTCGTGCTGCCATGCCCAGCTCTGTTTTTGTTGTTGTTATTTTTTATAGAGACTGGGTCTCACTGTGTTGCCCAGGCTGGTCTTAAACTCCTGGCCTCAGGCAGTCCTCCTGGCTAGGCCTCCCAAAGTTCTGGGATTATAGGTTTGAGCCATCCAGGGTTTCATATTCTTTCCATAATCCGTATCAAAACCTTTTGTTGCATGGACCGATTAATTGGGCGTACATTTATTAATACTTTCTGTGTGCCAGTTAAGAGAGAATGTGAAGATGAAAACAGAATCTACTGCCCAGGCTAGAGACTTTTTCTTTAGTCCTGTGCAGTCTAATATGGTACTACCAGCCAGTTGTGACTCTGAGCACTTGAAATTTGGCTAGTCCAAATTGAGATGGGTGTTCTAAGTATAAAATACATACCAATTTTGAAGAACAAAAAAGAATGGAAAATAATCTCGTTAATATACTTTTATATTGATTATATGCTGATACTATTTTGGGCATAACGGGTTAAATATCAACTTCACTTGTTTGTTTTTACTTTTAATGTGGCTACTAGAAAAATTTAAAATTACCTATGTGGTTCACATATTTCTGTTGGCCAGCCCTGGTCTAATGGTTAAAACAAATAATTATAGCAATGTGATAATTAATAGTGGTATATATAAGTAAAGAGCTATGAGAAAACAGAAATTCCTTAACTGTGTGAGGAGGTTAAGGAAGATTTCTTGCATGAGATGACATTTCAGCTGAGTCCTGAAGGATGTGTTACCCTTCAGAGGCAGAGGAACTGGGGATGGGTAGAAGTAGCATCCCAGAAAAGCTTGTTAAGAACAAGAACTTTGAAGTAAGAACTGCATTTGAATCCCAACTCCACTACTTGGTAACTGTGAACCTGGACTATTTAGAGAGGCTATTCTGATGTCTCTAAATATGTTTCTTCATCTCTAAAATGATAACCTCTTCATTAAGTTCTTATGATTAAGTGGCATAATATTTATAAAGAGCTTAAAAGCACATTAAAAATTGCTCAATAAATGTTAACTTTTACTAATAAGTAGAAGTAAGAAACTGGTGCTTTGGAAATTACTATTGCTCAGGCATGACCAAACAGCAGATACTTTCCAGGCAGCATGGTTAGATGAAACCAGAAAGACAAGCATGTTCCACTTTATGAAGGGCCCTGTACAGGAGGCTGAGGCAATTTACACCTAAATCAATGTAGCCCTGGGGAAAGGTCAAGGGCTTTTTAGTCAAATAGACTTGGGTTCAAATTCAAGCTCCAGCCTTTACCACAAGTGTGACCCGCAGGAAATTATGTAACTTTTCTGAGCATCAGTTTCCTCACTTTTATATGGGGATAATCCGTAGAGCTGTTGTGAGATGAAAACAGTTTATGAAGGTGGTAAAACATTTGTTACATAGATGTTTGATACGTGGTAAATAATCTTTCACTGAAAAACATTCATGAATTACTATGTTGAGGTTACTATTTAAGATTATTATGCACCTGACAGTACACTTGAAAGCAACTAAAGCATGATTCTTTCGCTCAATGCATTATGGGTATGCAAATAAGTGATAGAAGGTCTTTTAATAGTAGTGTGTATAGAGTACGGTGGGGACACAAGGACAGTAAGGGTCAGTACAGTGTTTCTAAGTAGGATCATCTCTTGCTTTTTTCCGAGTGTGTATAATGGTGAATGCCTGTCTGCTCGTTTGCTTTATACTTGTGGGACACTTTGTAATTCAGTGTCTGCTAGAAAAACATTATTTTCTCTTAACTAATGTGCTAGTGAAATTTAAGTTGGGTGTATCTGAGAGAGATGCTTTTAGTGTTACTAGTCTACTCGAAGATATCTCGATTGGACTTGCACCTAACCTTTAAATTCACACTGCCTTTGAAAGTTTAGGTGTCACTTAACAGGGATTCATAATGAGAAATTTTTTGAGAGCTTTTCTTCTATGCTACTTTGTAAAAGGAAAAAATCCCATAAAGATATTTCCAATCTTTAAGTACATAATTTCCCTTCTGGGAATTTGATATAAAAAGGAGAAAGGCACCAAGATAGTGCCCAGTTATTTATAATTGGGGGGCAGGGGTGGGAGTCAGGGAGGAAAGGCCCGCAATATCTAATATTGGGGGATTGGTTGTGTGAGTTAGGCTCATCACCTTGATGGAATATTAGGCATCCATTCAAAATGATCAACTTTAGTAAGAAAACAAACAGAAAAGATGGAATACCATAGTGTGTATCTCACTGTGTTAAGAATCAAATTATTATGCATAGGGGTAAACTAAAAGCAGTTAATTTGTTGAGGCAGGATTGTGAGTACATTTTTTTCTTCTTTCATTTAGTCTTCTATGTGTATATGTAATGAAAGTGTAAAATGTTATGTGTTCTAAGCTCCTTAAAAATATTTCTCTTCTTAGGGGTGGATTCATTCGGTCCGATCCCAGAAGGAAGTCTTATTCCTGCATGTAAATGATGGGTCATCTTTGGAAAGCCTTCAGGTTGTTGCAGATTCAAGCTTTGACAGTAGGTGAGTTTTATTTTGGTTTTTTGTTTGTTTTTTCAGAGTTCTTCGATTTTTTTCTCTCATCTCCACTGCCTCCCACTTCCCTAATCCAGTGTTTACATTACCGCTTGGGTGATCTTCCTAAACAAATCTGCTTTCATAGCTTTGAAGATCAAGTCCAAATACTTGGAATCAAAATCCTTCAAGCTCAGACCTTTCCTCCTCTATTTAACATCGTCACATGCCAATATCCCTCACCTGTGCTTTGCTTTGGTCTTTACTTGCACCTCCCTTAAACTCTTCTGGTCTTTTTGTCTTTTACCATTTGTAAATGTTGCTACCTCTGCCTGATATAGCCTCTTCTTCACTTGTCTTTCATAGTTCCAATTTGGTATCATCTGATGCTCCCATGCCTTGGCTGTGTCAGGTACCCCTTTTCTATGCTCCCTTGGCATCCTGTGCCTACCTCTGTGTTAGAATGTATAACATTGGATAGTAATCAGGTGTATTCTTATTTGATTTCTGCTAGACTCTTAGTTCCTTGAAGTTAGGAATGTATTCACTTTTTTATTCTTGGCCGCTAACACATTGCTGATGAAGTGACTAATTGTTACTTGTTGAATAAATGGAAGAAACTTTACAGTCTCATTCTTCAGGTTTTAAAACTAACACCATTTTAATGTTAGAGTATGAACTCTGAGGAGGAGAACGTTATTCTAATTTGTTAGAATAAGAGTGCTTTGCTATTTCAAGGATTGTTCGGGTTAATGCCCTTCACACATTGAATAGATTCGTGGGTCTCAGACTATTTGGTCAATGGGAAAAACAAAAAAAATTGTTATGATGTAATAGTAACGTTTTTAAAGGTTTGTACTTTTTCTGATTATGTGTATTAGTATGACAATCACATGGATATGTCTAATACCTAAATTTTAGAGGTTCTACAGAATGACTGCCTATCTCTTTGAGATATTCCCAACAGCCTTCAGGTTAAAATTCATATATGTCACGTAGTGCATATTTTTAGTCAGAGCATCTCAAAATACCCTCTCAGGTTTGGAGAGAGTATACCAGGTGTTTTCCCCCTATAATGCAGTAGTGGACAATCTTATTTATATAAATTACATAAGAATAAATTTAAAAGGAAATAGCATACAGTAAATGTAGTAAGCAAATAAAACTGAGTGAGGAATCTCCTAACACATTTACTTTAATACAGTTTTTTGTATACTATACTGTATTGTAATATTTCAATACAATTTATTAAAGAAGGCACTCATACTTACCATAGTTATGAAATGTTAGAACTAGAAAGGATATACAATCATTTAGTCCAGCCTACTTCCTTTTTTTTTTTTTTTTTTTTTTTTTTTTTTTTTTTTTTGAGACAGAGTCTCACTGTGTTGCCCGGGCTAGAGTGCCGTGGCATCATCCTAGCTCACAGCAACCTCAAACTCCTGGGCTCAAGTGATCCTTCTGCCTCAGCCTCCCGAGTAGCTGGGACTACAGGCATGCGCCACCATGCCCGGCTAATTTTTTCTATATATTTTTAGTTGTCCAATTAATTTCTTTCTATTTTTAGTAGAGACGGGGTCGCGCTCTTGCTCAGGCTAGTTTTGAACTCCTGAGCTCAAACAATCCACCCGCCTCGGCCTCCCAGAGAGCTAGGATTACAGGCGTGAGCCACCGCGCCCGGCCTAGCCTACTTCTTAATAGACAATTCTTAAATGAATTTAGATGACTTTCTGTAGTAGTCATATAGTTAATTTGTGGATGAACTGGAACTAGAACCTAGACTTGTCAACCAGAAAGTAGTTCTGTGTGTTCCGAGACCACGAGCCAACTAACTTTTTTTTTTTAACTTAAAAAAAAGGTAATATATTACAAAAATAGTACAGAGGATTCCCATGTACTTTTCACTCAGCTTTCCAAATGATAACATCTTACATAACCATAATTTTTATCAAAGCCAGGGACTTGGCATTGGTATAGTACTGTTAATGAAACTACAGACGTTATTCTGATTTCACCAGTTTTTACAGTGATCTGCAATCTTTTAAAAAGATTTTGGCCAACTTTTTAATAAGGAGAATTATATAACCTGTTAATTCCAAATACTTATATTCAAATCCTTAGCTCTCTTTGTTCCCATTTTAAAGCTTATGGAATTCATTTTTATAATTTTGGTATATAGTATAGATTCTGAAGACTGTTTAACCCAATTAAGGGTAAAAACTTATTAAATATTATGAATGTTCTGATAGCAAGGTTTATATTAAAATGAAAGTTATATATAATAATATCTTGTTTATGTTGTTTTTTTGTTACTATAGAGAATTGGCTTTTGGGAGTTCTGTGGAAGTCCAAGGGCAGCTGGTAAAAAGTCCATCCAGAAGGCAAAATGTGGAACTGAAGGCAGAAAAAATTGAAGTTATTGGAAATTGTGATGCTAAGGTATGCTTTCTAATATTTAGACTTAATTTAAAATATTAGCAATCTGTTTTAAGTGTGATTATGGGAAAGACAACATTTAGAACATGTTTCAATTATGACTTCCCAGGTAATTGAAATAGGCCATAGAGCCTGTAGAGATAATAGCAAAAATTATTTACCTAGACAGCATAGTCTTATGAGTGAGAGCTATTAATCTAAACATCTCTGTGCCTGTCACAATTGAAACTCGCTGCTTTTACAAGCACGCCCAGTTAGCCACAATAACATACCTGGGCAGGCTATTTCAGTTTGACATTCTTAAGAAAGCTAGAAAGGACTTGTGCATGATCTAGAACAGATCATCTAATAATGGTAGACAGTAGCCACCTGTGGCTGTTTGATATTAAATCAATTAAAATTAAATAAAAAATCCAATTCTGGGCAAGTGCAGTGGCTCACACCTGTAATCCCAGCCCTTTGGGAGGCCAAGGCAGATGGATAGCTTGAGCCCAGGAGTTCGAGGCTGCAGTGAGCTATGATCATGCCACTGCACTCCAGCGTGGGTGACAGAGTGGGACCCTGTCTCTAAAAAAAGAATAAAATCCCATTCCACAGTGGCATTAGCCACATTTCAAGTGCTCAGAAGTTGCATGCGGCTATTGGTTACTATATTGGATATCACAGTTACAGAACATTTTCATTTATCACAGAAAGTTCTTTTGGATGTTACTGATTTAGAGTGTCGCAGCTTAGGCTAAACAGAGACAAGAAATTCTGCATTAAGACATGTTTATGCCTGTTTTTGCAAGACTCTTCTGAGACTAGCTTTATAAGTTTGTTTGATAAAGAGGTTAGAGAGAATAAAATCAAAGATTATCAATCTAGTTCTGTAAATTTACAGTAGTGGAGAAAATGAGGCCCAACTGGGTAAAATGACTTGCCAAAGGTTATGAGCTGATTAATGTCATAGCTGAAATTTATATTCTAGCCATTTGACAACTCTGTGTTTTTGCTATAATTGTCTTCAAATATTTAATGAACAAAAATTGAGGAAATACAGGGAAATTACATCATTTTAATTCATTTTTAGTTCTTTTGGAATAATAGGGAGAAATTAAATGTAAGAAAATAAAGGAAGAAAATGGGAAATTTTTCTTTAAAAATGTCATTCTGAATAATTTTGCAAGAAATTCTAGTTGACATGTAAAATCAGGGATCAAGTTCTAAGATTTCTGAAAAATAGAGTGTGGAATCATTTGGAAATCAAGAGCGAAATGGAGAATGTAACTATTTTTGTTTTTGCTTTTTTAAAGGGATCTGTGAGTATTAAAAATTTGCCATGTTTTTCACTACAGCAGTCTCTCCTTATCTACAGTTTTGCTTTCCATGGTTTCAGTTACCCATGGTAAACTGTGGTCTGAAAATATTAAATGGAAAATATCAGGTATAATTCATAAGTTTTAAATTGCACACTGTTCTGAGTAGCATGATGAAATCTTGAGTTCTTCTACTCTGTCCTGCCCAGCAAGTGAATCATCCTTTGTCTAGCTTATCCATACTCCATATACTACCTGCCTGTTACTGTATAAGAAAAAAACATAGTGAATATAGGGTTCAGTACTATGCATAATTACAGGCATCCCCTGGTGGGTCTTGGAACATATCCTCTGCAGATAAGGCATGACAACTGTATTCTTAACTGTTCTCCCTTGGCGTCTATTGATGTCAATACCTTCACCTTCCCTTTTCCTTCAGTTCAATGTCATTTTGAAGTATTCCAACATTAGGGAATTCTGAACCCCTAACAGTCCCCATATCTCTATTATAATGTGGTCACATTTTCACTTTAGTAAGTATGGTGCTTATTTCTATACAACATAAAAATTAGTATGTGTACAGGGCCTAAAAAGAATAGATGAAACTGAAAGAAGCAGGCTGCCAATGTAGCTCTTTTTTAGCTTCTCTGTTATCTTTTTTATTGAAACTTTGGTTTTTGTATGAAAGCATGTATCTGTCTTCATAATCTTGTAACATGAGTATGGGCAGGGTATTTCAAGCTGGGGCCATAATTTCCTTTAAAATTTTTTTGTAAATCTTCGCTGCTCTGCTAGTTTGCAGAAAGTTAGTTGACCCTCCTTCATGTTCTTAGATCCCAGTGAGTGACATTGATAAATAGTAATAAAGTGCACCAATTGATTATGAATGATTGTGGGCTTTCAAGACATACAGGTAATTTTAAAACTGAACACTAGCTGTGTGTATACAATGGTAGAAAACATAATTTTTAATATTTATAATATTTTGGACTCCTGTGTGCCAAACAGGATAGTTTGTATAATTAACCCTAACCTCTCTATTTGAAAGAAGTGATTGACAGCTAATGGTACAAACTTGATAAATAACATTTGAGCCTCAGTGAAAGTAACTTAGCTCAGCAACCCCAACCTTTTTGGCACCAGGAACAGGTTTCATGGAAGACAGTTTTTCTACTGGGGGCGGGGGTAGTAGGCAGAGCTCAGGCGGTGATGCTGTGAGTGATGGGGAGGGGAGCCGCTGTGCAGGGCGGATGGTGGTAGGGGTAAGGGGTCGGTTGGGGACCCGGGGGTTGGGGACTACAGCTATAAAGTACACCAAAAAAGTTCAAGTGTTTAAAATGCTGGGTCACTTACTTAACTGCAAGATTAATGGAATGATCCAGTTGAGCTTGCTCCAGAGAGGATAAGAGACAATTGCAGTTATATTAATATAATGATACCACCGCACTCTGGGCAAGGTGACAGAGTGAGACTCTGTCTCAAAAAAAAAAAAAAAAAAAAAAAAAGATATAATGAAAACATTCTAAAATGAATCAGAAAAGAAATCTTACAGTGACCGTTTTGAACTATGCTGAATACAGTGCTGCTTATAGAACTATTTTCCCAGTGTTTCCCAAACTTCAGCCATGATTTTTATTTGTACTATAGTTTAATGCTTTTCTTAAAATCTACTTAGTTTTCTTAAAACTTAGCTTTTTCCTACACACACACACACACACACACACACACCCCCCCACCAAAAACAAAAAAATCGCAAATTCGATGTTCTGGTCTCCACTTGCCCTTCTGTCAGCCTCTTTTCGACACAACCACACTATCACCTGGCTTCAGGTTAGACTGAAAGATACTAGAAGATACTAGAAATTAGAGAAGGGGAGAAAAGAGAGGTCTTTCTTCCACCCTCCCTTCTTAAATGCGCCGTCTCCATAACTACCGTTCCAGCCAGGTGGCGCCTCCTCCACTCCAATTACATCATGTCTTCCTTTTCCTTTTCCAGTCCTAGGGATGGTAGCAGCCCCTGCTTCCCCTGGACATCTTGCTACCCTGTATTTATTCCCTTTGAACCACCAGCATCACTCCAAGTAGGCCCTTTCTTAAAAGATACTTCAGTTGAACCATCTTCAGTGAACTGTTTCTTGCTGGGACCCTAACTGATCTAGGAGTGCTAGTTGTTAATTTCTTTTCTATGTATGATTCACCTCTTTATCAACAATGGAACAAGTGTACCAACCATACTTGGGGAAGCATCTGTATTACCCACAAGCTACATCCAACCTTTATCTCTGTAAAACAATGCATAAATGGACCAGAAAATGTGCTTTATCCTGGTGAATATTTTAGAATCTATACTCACTCTTGGAGGCAAAAGCAGACATTGCTGTTCTTCATTAAATCAATACTTATTGATTGCATACCATATGTCAGGCATTAAGCACTGGGGATACAGCAGTGAGCAAGTTCCTGCCCTCTTGGAGCTTATATTCTAGCTGAGGGAGACACAAATAACTGAGTAAACATGATATGTAGCCCATAAACATAATATGGTGATTCAGTGCTATCGACAGAAATAAAGCTGGGAAGCAAAGTGGGATAGGTATCCCATTATATAAGCAAAGACTTACAAGGCGAAGAATAGGCCCTCTAAATTTCTACTGGCGAAGTTGTTACATACTGAGGGAACAAAAAGGTGCAAAGACCCAAATACAGGAGTGCCCGTGAAACATTTGGTCCAAGCTTCTGGTAACCTTATCAATTAATACAAAGCCTAATAAATCTGAAAATAACTTTAAACCATTTAAAATACCCCTTGATTCATTTGTGCATACCCATGTGTGAGAATCTGCATTATCTTTTGCTCTGTAGTTTATATATCCAGTAACTATAAGAGGACTGAAACAGTATAGCCCAGCAGTGTTGGTGTTACCAACCCTGCTATGAGCTCCTTAGAAAGGCAAATTTGTTTTAACAAGCTCTTGAGGTGATTCTTCTGCAAATTAATGTTTGAAAACCACTGTACTATTATTCCAGTTAAGGCCTTGGTAAACATAACCCAGAATGTGAGTTTAACTAAAATGTAAGGTAAAATTTTACCTTAACGGCCACCTATTTTAGTGATTATCTCATTATCTATCAAACACAACATGCCATTATACCAGTTTTTATAAACATCTACTTGTAATATTGACTCTGAAAATCCATCAGAAGCAAACTTAAAAGCCTGCCTTTGAGTCAGTTTTATTTCCATTGTTGTAAAGACTTACGCAGAGTATATATTTGTTTATAGTAAATAGCCAACTACCAGACATTAGAATTTTTAAAAAATTGCTAGGCAGGCAGGGCACAGGTGCAGTGTCTCAGGCCTATGATCCCAGCCCTTTAGGAGACTGGGACAGGAGGATCACTTAAGGCCCAGAGTGGGCAACACAGTGAGACCTTGTCTCTATAAAAAATAAAAATAATTAGCCAGATGTGGTGGCATGTGCCTGCCATCCCAGCTACTTGGGAGGCTGAGGTGGGAGGATGGCTTGAAGCCCAGGAGTTGGAAGTTGCAGTGAGCTATGATCATACCACTGTCCTCTAGTCTGGGCAACAGAGTGAGATTCTGTCTCTAAAAATATAAATAAATTAACCACTAGGAGAAAGAAATCTGATTATGTACAGCATTGAGTAGGAAACTATCAAGAGGTAAGGGACCCTGCCTATCAA